GGCCTTTGAGGTTGCTTTTTGCAGGAAGCACATCTCGTCCGTATGCCGGCCAGGTCCGTGAATGGTGCATTTCATTGTTGGGCGTACGAAAGAGGATCTCTTGTCTCCTAGAACAGACGGTTGGTGGAAGGTTGCCGTTGCCTGCGCGCGCCCTTTAATTCCCGCTATGCCTTTATCCTCATTGTCTCCCTTTCCTGTAGTACCAAGGCCTAGTGCTTCCAATCGTTGGATAAATTCCTCGACTTCGGCGATATGACAAAGCAATGCTCGTATCTCCCGAGGTAATCTGGCGCAGTATCGGTACAACATTAGTTTCAAGAACGGTTGCACAGGATAACCTTGTCTCTCGCAAATGATCATAATCGTTTTATTGACCCGTTTTAGCTCTTTAGCGGCCTTCATACAGTCAATGGTCGTGATTTTGTTTGGTTTCTCTAGTACTAAATACAATGCACGAGATTTCGGGTATTGTCGATCCATGTAGGTTTTATGGGCCTCTGCGATCGTTTCAGCTTGAGAAAGGCCATAAATTTTGACGAGTTTCTTCACGAGTATGTCCGGTGTGGTGCTGGTTTTGAATAACGCCTCTGCTAACCATTCATCCGTCTCCAATTCGGTCTCCGGTAATGATGGTAGTTGTTGCTCATCGTTTCCGAAAGGATGTTCGTATTGTCGATGTTCTGTTTTTTTTTTTTTTTTTTTTGTAAAAATTACTAGCAATACCTTGGTTAGTGGCTGATGCAATACCTTGGTTAGCGCTGCCATTATCTTCTGATTTTTTTCTGTAGCATTGTGGCCATGAGGGTGAGAAGTTCTTGATTTGTAGCTGTCGCCATAATGTAAAGTGATGCGCTGTTAAAGATTAGTTATTGTCTAAAAAGTGTGTGCGCACACATTTCGCATAGCATGTTCCACATCAGAAGGGTGTTGTCCTAATTGACTGATGACGGGCTCGGTCAACCCTCCCTCCTTAGGACGGCTCGGAAGAGGTGTACACGAGAAGGAGGATTCTCGAGTGAGTCTTCAACATACGAACTTCGCGGAAGCCTGTGTGCGCGGGTGCGTGTGTGCAGAACCGCTGCAACGACAGAACCGCTGCAACGACAGAACCGCTGCAGTACAAGTACTGGCCGTACTCGTGCTTTCTCGTCGCCAGACACTAAGATAAAAAACTACGCTGCCCACCGACGAAGCCTGAACGAAAATGATTTTATGCAAAAGGAATAAACTCGGACTAGTGTGGCACAGAAGCTAGCGCGTGGCGTGCTTCCTTGTTTTCGCGTACGATGTTCTTGGCCTCTGGGGTCAGGTTTTTGCATTCATAAACACAAGTCCCGGGGGTGTATCGATCTTCCGGGTACTCGCCAAAGGAGCTTGACACTCGATCCAGGGGTGTATCCAAGTCGAGAAGTGTGACATTGTGTGTTGCCTGGTCGCTGTGGGGCACGTCAGTGACGTTGTGGTCTCTTTTGGCTGTCACCTCGCAGGTGACGTTGGCTAGGGAGCACTGACAGTCCTCCAACCAACCAATTTCTCGCCAGGAAGCGGCGGAGCCTGAACATGTCGGGTCAAGAGTGAGTGCTGCGAGAATTCGTTGAACTTGTTCCTCCCGCGACGTAGTCGGAAACATGGTCGTGTTTTGTGTGTGGTGTTGGAGTGGAAAGTGTGTGGTAAGTCGCCTGGCAAGCGATGCATTAGTTTGCTCGGGTTTGTGGCAGAGAATCTCACACTTTTCGTGTCCTAGCTCTTTGGCAGTGTTCCAAACGGAGGGGAAAGAGATAGGCCAGGGGCTGCCGAAGTCGTCACAATCCGTGGTAACGGAGGCGTTGCCGCATAGTAGAGTGCCGCTGCCACAGGGTGCCAAGGGCGCTGGTCCATCGGACGACCAGACGACAGCGGTCCGATCGTCGCCGAGCCGCGGGCACATCCCCGGTCCCAATACAGGGCCTCGTCCAACGCCTCGATTACGATTCAAGTCAGAGTCCTGTGACGCCCTGTACGCTAAGTATGTCACGATGCCACCTAACAAGACTGCACCGCCGACTTTCACGGTCGAGTGAAAGCTGCAAGCCGTTTTACGTACACGACTGGACATCGCCATTAGGATATCAAAGCCCTCATCATAATTCGAGTCATGAGATTCCCCTACCGCCGACCTTTGTAGCACCGGTCTCCAGTCCTTGAAAACCTTCGGCAAGAGCTCGTCCAACTCCGCCACGTACACCGGCCGCGTCGACGCCACGGTCACGTCGTCCGCCATGCCCCGACGCTGCATTTCGTACCCAGTTGAACCCAAAGGCAGCTCGCTCGGGATGGCGTCCAGATGGTGGAGCTGTTCACCAAAGACCTGCCGAACAAGTCCGTCCACCGCCTGCTGGTTGGCCCAGGGCCCGCTGCGGGCCAAACGGCGCCGCAGTGCGTCCAGCAGTGCCGCTTCCGCCCGTGTGTCGTTCAGAACTTCCGAACGACGCACTACCATCATCCGGTCCCACTGCTGGAACCAGTCGTAGTTCTCGCACTCGTCATCCGTCACATCAATTACCAAGGGCGTCCCGTCGTCAAAGGCCCCGTCGGCAACGCCCCACTCCACCTCAAACGCTTTCTTAGGCCCCAACACCACAGCCGTCACCTCGCCGCCGCCCGCACATATTGTCGCCACCTGCGCCACACAATCATCCAGCCTCGTCTGGGTGCCGTCTGGGTGCAACAACACAGATAGCAACTCTCCGCCCGGCACCCCACTCGTCTCACTCTTCAACGCACGCATCTTGGACAAAATATAATTTTTTTTTACAACACGCACACGACCGAACGACGCGCTCTGACCCCGCGACAAAACAACTGGAACGGGCGCGCAGCAGACCTGGATTCTTGGCGACTGTGCGAGGTCAGAAGTGCCCAGGAGGGGCCCTAATCACAAATGCTGTGATAGACGAACTACGTCAGTATTAAACGTTGCCGGACGATTCCGGAGTGGCAGGAGCATGTTCAGAACCCAGACGGCTTGGGGGGCTTTGGTTGACCGTCATACGCGCATCGATCCTAGAAGGGAAGTATGAGGCTCATTGTGGACATGACCCCTCGTCTTGATGTGGTGACAAGAGAAAGACTGCTGTTGAGTATGCATTCTAAGTGCTGGTTGCGATCCGGGTCGGGCAGAGGTGGAGCAAGAAGTTGGACGAGTGTCGGCGGAGGCTATAAGGTTCTTCGTGGAAGATGGCAAGGCTACCTGTATCGCCCCTGCTGCGGGGTGTTGGGGCAGTCCTTTGTAGGTTCTGTCTGTCAGGCCTCGTGCGACCCATATTTTGGCGCCGGAAGCTGCTGTTTGGAACTCTCGGAAGCTCTGTCGTGCACTTTGACTATTTTGCGGAGAAGAGCTTCTGGGGTGTAGTATACCGTTCTATGGCGTCTGAGATCCATCCGTCACTTCCCCGGATCAAGAGTTGTATGCGGATTAGTAAGAGTGTATTGTTGATCATCAGGTCGTACCCACGGTCGACTTTGGAAAGGTTCTTCCGAAGAATTGATACGACATTATAGTTTGCTAACACAGTTGAGTGCGTTCGAGGCCAACAAGGTTTATCAACAAGCCCGCAAACTCACCAACGAACGCGCCGTCTACGAGCTATGCCTGGGCGGCTAGCAAATACAAACACTGTGCCGCCGCTGCCACCGTCGTCGTCAGAGCAGCCAACTGAGAAGTACAAGAAGACGTCAAAGTCGGTCTCAAAGAATTTTTCACCTGCGCATGCACACACGTGTGCAAAAAAAAAGGCTCTAACCAAATTGTTTAGTGTACAGGAGTGATGATTTGTAAGTGGGACTCGTGGCTGCTCGGCGAGGGGCTCGTGGGTGGTGACATCGTGAAGATAAAGCGTGGATACGATCTCTCGTTTTTATTAAAAAGCGTTCGTTCGTTCTGTGTGCGGACCACCGTATTGTCTGGCGACGTCGTCCGTGCGGGAACACAGGGCGGCGTTCATACGACACAACCTCCCGGGCTGTTT